ACACAAACAACCATCATCCTTTACCAACCTATCCTTCAGCCATCACACACACAAGACCCCACTACTGCCTCCCCAGCTGGCTCTTACCCAGAAGGAATCAGTCCCTTACAGAGGGAGGGTCACCCACTGTCCACAACACAACCCTGCCAAGAGTCACCAGGCCATCCAGATGATGAAATCTAGACAGCAATCTCTGACTGACCACAAAACAGTCACCACACCATCCTTTTCACATACCCGGTGGCAAAGAAGACAAGATGGCTCCCACAAAGGGATCCTCAGCAACCTCCAGGCACAAGCCCTCCACTGCTGCTAACCCTTCTTGGTTCCAAGATCATCCTCCTTTGATTCCCAAAAAAGGGAAACAAAGGTTCTTTGCTCAAGAGGCCATAAGGAACTCTGCCACCAGTCCTCAGCCTCATCCGGCTAGCCACCGCCATCAGAAAGCCAAATGCCGCTAGCATGTGACTGTGTGCCACTGATGCCCAACAAATAAACACCGCTGCCACCCCAGGAGAGACTGCCCAGCCTTTGACCACCACTGACAGGCAAACTGTTCCTGTTGTTACTGCTGCTGTCCCCAAGGCACTCAGCACTGCCACCAAGCACCACAGGTCTACTGCTGCCCATCCAGCTGCTGGCCCCATTGCCCCCATTAAACAGCAAGGTGCCAGCAAGCACAGTCCGGCAAGCTTCTTCCAGAGCAGCCCTGGTGCAGCTCCCACCACTGATGGCTACCCGTGGAAGTAAAGAACCTACGCAGCTCTCTGCCCTCACAGCCAACGACCTGGAAGGGGGTCCAAGTCCCGCAGTCCAGCTGATAGGGCCCAGGGTCTGACTTGGGGCAATCCAGCCCTCCACCAGAGTATGCCAAACAAAACCAGGTAGGCTCTGGAGTCTCTACCAAAACAACATGCCTCTCACACCAATCTCCAACATATAAAAAACCCCCATCCAATCCAAAGCCTGTACTTCCCATCCAATACCCTACGACAATCCAAATTAAAATATTTCTGAAACTCAGCAGCAATTTTGCTATTTAAAACTGCAATCATTTAAGGAGGAAGTATCCAGATTTTACCCCCAAGGACTTCCTCATTTGCAAAGAAATCATTATTGATTATAATCAATTAAATTACAAATGTGCCCCTGTGACAAATCAGTTTCTATTCAAATACTTTTTCACATTTCTTAACCTAAATACTTTCAATTTCATCAGCATTGGCTATCAGTTTCTATGATAAATGCTCCCTTTATCTAAGCCGTTTTTTAATCTAAATGCGGTGGCATTTATTCACAGTTCTGTTTTGATTTATTGTTTGTTGCCCAGGAAAACCATTTGAAGTCACAACAATTATGACTGCTGCTGTTTCCAACATCATAGTTTCTATTCTACTTGGCAAGCGACGTGACTATGAAGATGCCACATTTCTACGACTTCTGAAGCTAATCAGTGAAAATATACGGCTTTCAGGGAGCCCAAATATAATGGTAATCTAATATTTTATTTGAAGAAAAAAACATGAAATATAGGCATTATGTATGTCATTCATGCTTTGTTGCAAAGCAAAGCATATTGCTTGTCATAGACATCTGCAGAAATATTGCGTTCAAATGACAATATGAACATGAAGATACCATGATTCAAATTCTACTCTTATGTACTTGCATCCAAATATCTGATGTAAGTATGCAAGGCACTTTTTCGTGTTGTGACATCATGAGGCATGCTTCATTCCTCTCCCTTCCTTCTACAGGTAGATGTCCATGTTACTTGCAAATGCACTCATTGTGGGGTTGGCAGCCTTCTATTGCAAATGCCATTTCATTCTCTTATTCTCTCTCTCTCTCTCTCTCTCTCTACTCCACAATTATAAAAGTACTAAATAGTTTCCTTGGCTAGAACTTGCATTTGGTTTCTTAGATTGATCATTCCCATTGCTTGTTTGGGAATCAACAGGAGGTGAGCAGGAGGAGCTCATTCAATAGTATGTTGGAAAATAAGCACTCCCTCTCCCAATAAATCCGTGGAGATTTAGTCCATATGATTTGGTCCTTAATGAAATAGAAATATTGACTATCCATAGCTCCCTCAAACATGTGTTTCTGCTTACTATTGTTGTTTATTTTTTGTAGACTTATGGAACATTATTCTGATAAAAATACTTTGAGTTGTCTGCCTGAGAAGTGCATTCAGAGTATTCAACTCCCTTAATATATGTTTTCTTTCATCATTCTTTCAGCTATATAGTATGTTTCCCATGCTGGGGTTCCTTCTGGGTTCTCGTAAAAAAGTAATGAATAATAGAAAGGAATTCCATGATTTCATACAGACCACCTTCATAGAATACCTCAAAGATCTTGATGAAAATGACCAGAGGAGTTTCATCGATTCATTTCTTGTTCGGCAAAGAGAGGTTTGGATTATTTTATACATGCCTGGAAGTACATGTATAAATTTTTTACATGTTTTTAGAAATATACCTGCTTATAAATTACATGCAATTGCTGAAAATCCTTGCTCTAGAAATGTGTGTTGGGGGGGGGGGGTTTGGC